TGGCCATGTTGTAGAGGCCACGAGGAGAAGGGGCTCCGGCCCCTTGGGGGCCTCTGCCCCCCCAGCCCCAGTTGGGGGGCTGCAGGGACTTGGAACAGTGTTAGCTAGACTGAGTGCCTGCGGCTAGGAGCTGGGGGAGTTTTCTCCCCTGTAAACAGAAGTGGGAGACGCTGGGAGCAGCGACAGAGCAGCAGCAGAACGGCAGTGTCCGAAGAGCAGTGGCAAAGAGCCAACTGATAAGAACCAAGAGAAGCAGCAGATGCCGGTATGCAACTGAAGCAGACACAGAGTTGTCTGAGGGAACGAAAAAGAGCCAGCAGCAGAAAGCAAGACAAGAAACCCGAGCCAGCAGCAAGAAGAGAGTTTCGGAGGGTAAGAACTGGCTCAAACCAAAACCCCCAAACTCGCTAGAGACCCCTCCGAGAAAGAGGAGAGGGTGGTGGACTGAGTGGAGTCCTAAAGTGCAGTATGCACTACAGAGAGGAGCTAAGAAGCTTCGGCCTCCTGAGAGCTCAGCCAGGATGGCCAAAGGAATGTGTGTGGAGGGGGTGACCTTGAGCTTTCCCCCCCCCCCCATCCTCCTTGCTGCCAGGCTTCAGAGAAGCTGGCAGCCATCTTTGAGGCAGAGCATGGGAGCTCTGCACAGGGGCTTGATTTCCCCTGAGGATACCAGACCGTCACGAAGACCCCGGTGCTTCGTGATATGACCATGGTGTAGCGGCCGTGTCTGGGGTTACGCAGCCCATGGAAAGACCCCCTGTTTGAAGACGGGGGCCGAGAGAGGCTTGGAAGACCTCCCTCGTGTGTGCTGGCAGAGAGCCAGCAACTACTACTGCTGCCTGAAAGAGAAGACACAGAAAGCCTACTGCCTAGAGAGAGAGAGAGTCCTACTACTGACAGACTGGAAGGGGTCTTTTCTTCTTCTTCTCTCCTGGACTTTTATTTGGAGAGAGAAGAGATTTGACCCATTGTAAATATTATTGTCATGGTAGAGATAGATATAGAGTTAAGATTGTATACAATGTATTATAGTATTTATTTGCTGTATAGTCTTTGTAATATATTCCTTCCCCCATATTGAGTCTCGTGTTTTTGTCTGGAAAACCCATCTCACATGGGGTTGAGATGTGGGAGGGGGGCTAGGAATCAAAATTGGATTTTGGGCCTTGCTGAAACCATGACACTGCTTTAGGCATACATATAATCACTTATACTGAATAGAAGGTGAGTTTTTACTTATGTTAAAACAACAACTTCACCTAACTGTTAGAACATTGTTATTTCGTTAAGACTTCATAAAACCCATTCTCATATTAACTCTGTAGTATATTACTAATCTATTGGAACCTGATGAGCTATTTTGAGACAAATTAATACTTTTTTCCTGCATTGTACTGTACTTTTGTACAGTTGTACTGAGCCTTACACTTCTTTTGAAATGTAGCCTGATCAACCTCTATTCAGCCATGTAAATGGGATTCATACACACAGTTTATTAATTACATATCAGCCAAAACCTGAGGAACTAGCTGTTAATCAGTTTGGACAGATGAGAAATTTAGGATAACTGCTTTGTAAAACAGCCACTGAGAGATGATATTATGATAACATTGCTCACAACGTTAGTAATTTTTTTTTCTGAAAAAAATATTTTTTTCTAAATAATCAGATACAGTGGTGTTCTTAGTCCTACAAAAAAAAAGGTAAAACCAAATAATTTGTTCTCAAATGAAAATTCTGCAGTATGCTATTAAAGAACAACAACCTCAAATAAAAGGCCATGCTAAATTACCATATTTTATTAGAGAATGTAGCAGTCACATTTCTTCAGAGTCAATTCAATATTTTTGTTCACGTTTAAACTGATTACTTAGAAAATGAATGAAAAACATTTTGTAAATTGAATTTCAAGACAACTGGCTGCTTAATAGGAAAGCTAAGTATCAGACTAGTACTGCTGGAGAGGTTCTCCAAAATCTTGAAAGCATCCAAAAGTATGACGATTATAATTTTCTACAAGTTTTATGTAATTATGCATGACATTTAATAGAAATCTTCCAAAGTGGTTACATGAAGCTTATCTGAACTCAAGTGAAATTAACTGTTAAGAGTACACTTCAAAATGAAATCCTCCTTGTTTTGCACATTTGATATTACAACAGTAATTTTGACAAAGACAGTCAAACTGTAACTAAAACAAACTGTGAAATAGAATTTATTTTTTAATTACCTATTTGGAAGTTTGGTTTAGTTGTATTTTTTTAATCTCATTTTGTGTTGCTGGAATCTTAGTCTTTAATGCAGGTATGTGTTTTGATGACATTCTCTTGATGCTTTCCTTTCCAAGCCTTTGATAAATTAAAACATGTTGGTCTGATTGGATCATTTTTTTTAAAAAGAGCTGGTTCTATCAGTCTTCGTTTTTGTTGTCTGAATGACCATGGACCAGAACAAGAGTCTATAGAAATAAGTCTTATATTCAATATGATTAGATAACAGAACCAGAATTCTATTTTTTCATGCACATTTTGTTCCTGCCAAAATCCCACTAGGTATTTTAAAACAGAGCTTCCTCTATCATAAAAAGAAATCATTTAACCTCAGTCAGGGCCTACCATTTAATGACACAAAGGTCCTACATAAATTTAGACAATGCTGAAAACGCAAATAGATAAGAACTTCTCACTAACATCATTCTCTAGTTAGATTGAAGCAGAGATTATGTACAAAAAACACTAGCCTGCATGGAGTACATTTGTGAAGATTCTGCATAATCTTCTGTTCTGTTACAATGGAAAAAGCTAAACTATTGGAAGTATTTCTATCCTCTTTTATCTACTATTTCCATAGCAAATTCTAAACCTAATTACACAATGTAAACTCTTTATTAATGCTATCAATATTTCTTGCATTTGAAAAGAAAAAAATCAATGAGAAAGTTAAATAATCTAACTTCACTTTTCTATTAGACAGTTTATTACCTTTGTCTCTTTAATATCAGCAGTAAAGCTAAAGTCAGCAGTTGGAAAATGAAGGAGTATTAATACTGGAAGAGGTTTGAAGGTCCACAGATTGGTTTACTGACAAAAATCAGAGGAGATTTTATTAAATAGTGACTAGGAATGGAATATGGAAAATACTGCTGCTAAATGCTTTGACATGCGTCAGTAACAGAAGGGATTTTTGGTAATTATATGTCTGCACTACAGAGGAGCACAACTGTGCAATTAAAACAGTTCTTACGTGCATAATCGTTTTTTTTCCTTAGGCCTATTAATAGTAATGTCATTGACAGCTACCCAGCTAAATTTCCAAGGGTAGTGGTGAGGCAACCTCTGCTTGTGTGCGCACTTATGCCCTACACATATGTCCAACTTGAGGAATTGCAAGAATACACACCAAGTGTCACAGGACTACAGGATAAGACTGTTTGCAGAACCCTCCTGTTTCTCTTGTTTCTTTTTCACCCTATTATTCCATAAGCTTTGGTGGTACTCTGTTATTCTGGATATTTTGTCCATCTAACATGAGAATATGTTGCAAATTACAGTTGTGATTCCTACATCTTAAGGCTCTTATACTGTAATTTGCTGTAGCAGCAACTACACCTAAGAACGGAAGTTTGTTTGGGGCCTGTAAAAGGGAGTGACTCACATTTTCGTCAGGAAATCTGGAGGCCACATAGAAAACACTGTTCATTTCCAATTCAGCATTATCTTGTCTTCTCAGTCCATTCTCATTGAAGTGAAGCATATTGGGAATAGGGCTATTTTCTTCTTTCAAAAAATTTTTCTTCTAGACTTTGAGGTGTTAAGCCATAAGGACCTGTGAGTGTCAATTGTTACATTGACCTCCATCAGCATTATCTGTAAGCCTGAAGAAGTTTCTTCCAAATTCCAGCTCAGGACTTTGGAGACAATAAAAAAGTGCTTCTGAAACAGTTCATCCAAGGTTTTTTAACACCTTGTGCAAATTCAAGAACAAAGTCTTGAGAGATTAATCAGTGCCACACATATACTAAAGCAGCACAATTCACAAGGATATCACTTGAAGACTCGTAACCTTCATTTAAGGTACCACAAATTATTCAAATTTAACAGCTGCTGTTAGTAAATACTATGCAATCTTACTTAAATTCTTCCTAAAATACATTGACACAAGTTCCAGCTATTTTATTTGAGCCATGTCCATGTCGTGGTGTAGATTAGCCTTCTAGCTGAACATCCAGGATATCATCTACCTCTCCAGCTGTGGCAAATGTTTTGGTTGATGGGTGTTTTTACAGAAGTCAAACATTTTAAGGTAATGCAGTGTTATACTTTCACACTGTAAATTCCTTCCATGGGGAAACTGTTGTTCCTTTGAAATAATATGTGCAAAGGTAAAATCTAAAATGAGTTTCATATTTTACAGTCACGTTTACCTACTTTGTGTGGAGACTATACAGTCATGTTTACCTACTTTGTGTAGGCTTAAGACTGGAGGAATACACTGAGTAAAGAAAACAATGGTAACATTTTAATGTCAGCTGTTATACTGTGTGATAGTGCTAACTCCAGTTGGAAAATGCAGCACTTACCATATTTCGAGTCAAATGTACAACTGAAAGCTTTATAAACATCAAAATTTAAAATTTAAAACTACAAGGCAGCCCAGTGTCTATCTGCACACTAATAGTGTGGGAGAGGGGGCAACAAAGGTGCAAAGAGGGGTTTGAAAACAGAAATCTCAAATTCTGTAAGGAAGACCACTTTCTTATTTAAAACATGCTTCCCTCCGTCCTTCTGTGTTACTGAAATGTATTCTATTTTCTGCCCTAAATATATTAATTTTGTTATTTTGAATGAATGGATGGATGAATTAATGAACTGAATTAATATATCCCATCACAGTACGAGATTTTCTAGGTCAATTGACCCAGGATCTTTTAGGCTCCCCTTGAAAGAGAAGCTCTCTACTCTAGTGATCATCAGTGTGGCTCTTCTCTGCTCCCATTCCAGGCTGTGCTTATGCAGTGTTTTGCAAACAGTGACTGCATTTAACAACACTTCAGTTAGATCATCTCCATAAAGGGAAAAGAGGAGGAGGAGAGTGGGAATAACTAATTCAACCTCACAGCTCATATCACTGTCCCCTGACTGAAGACTTCACAGCAGTGGTAAGTAGGCTTGCTAGCAGTGAGCTCAGGTTTAACATTCAGCAGAAATATACCTGACATTCAATACATCTTCCTCGAACATGATGGACCTGTATTATATGCAGCATTCCAGGTGATATATTAGGAGTGCCTTCTCCAATGACATTAATACTTCCATATTTCTTTGTGAAATACCTTGCCTGAAAAATCCTAGGATTGCTTTTGACATTTTCATGGCTACTTCACAGAGATGGTTCATAGTAATCTTATAATTGACTAATACACCTTGATCTTGCTCTTCCTCTGACATTTCCAACTAATGACTTTCCACATGAAGGAGAAAATTCTTGTTATTAATCCTCAAATGCATGACCTTGCACTTTGCTATGAAATCGCATTCCATTTCCTTGTTTGAGTCCTGGAGGTCTTTTTTTTTTTTTTGGTCAGAGCAAGATTCTGATCTTTTCCTGCACTGACAGTACATTTACATTACATAATCAACAGAATTATCAGGCTGAATTTAGTATCAAGGTCCTCAATGAGAATTTTTAAGTCAGACCTAAGACCAACCCTTCAGAAGGTTTGTTTGTAACTGTCTTTGAACCCATATACCACTTTAATGTCAGCTATTGTTGTCTCTCATTTATTTTGTTCCTTTCCTAAGTTAAATAGATTTTCCCAGTCTCACAAATCCTTATCAAAGAAATGTCCATGATTTTTTTCAAAGAAAGATGTCAGACAAATGTCACAACCTACATGTGCTCAAACCATGTTTGCTTTTTGTTCCGCTTGTCATTTACTGATTCTTTCTTTCAACATTTGTTCTGTAGTTCTGGGTACTCAATAAAGAAGTTTTTAAAATCGAAGATCATTTCTCTAACCTTTCTAAAACATTCCCAAAACGTAAAATATCATCTACAGTGTATTTTTTTCTCTAAAAATAGTCAATAGTCAGTTTTGCACAATTGGGTGTTGAAAAATATAAAGACCCAAACCATCCTGCAGATTATTTGCAGCAAAGGCTACTTTTGTGCAAAAGTCAGGCTGGCCAACTACTAGTATCATCTTCTAAGGTAAAAACCCAACAACTTTGCTCAGGTAGTTGCGACATCTTGTGAGCACTTGGAGGTGGGCTGAGCAAACTGGTTTGCTCCTGACCCTTCAGTGGGTAACTGAATAGTTCCCTTTACTTAAGATGTTTAGAATAAAAACCCCTATTTTTCAGATCTCACAACACGAAATCATATTAAAATTTAACAAATTTTTGGTTCCTTTAAGAGTCTTGGATGTTCTTGATAGCCCCATTTATTATGCATACAGTTCCTATGTATGCCCAAAGGGAACGTTTTATGGCAATTAGATTCTTGACCACTCACATCTTTATCTTACAGTCAAAGGAAAAGGAAACTCTGGCCTTAGTCTTACCACATAGAGGTAAATTTAATTGGTCCTCAGATGATACTGCACTAATCAAGATGTAGGAAATTGTTTGCTCTGCAGTTCATCTGGAATCATGATATTTGTGTGAAGTGAACCTGAAAAGCTAGGTGAAATGTACAGGTTGTGAACTCTAGCTAGAAAGCTCTGAATCATTAAAATAACATCATTTGAAGGCATATATCACATTAAGTTATACTATGCACGGAACTAACCTACAGTGCTGTTTCTTAGAAAAGTCTGTACGCCGTATGTCCTTTGGTGGAAAAAAAAAATACTCTGTATTCTTTAAAAAGCTATTTTTGTAATAAATAATAACATCAGTTTACAATAAAATTCTGAAGAAACAGCATTTGTAAAATGTAATTAGACAGTAAAAGCTATTAAAAACATTCAGTCCAACGCATACATGACATCAGCCAGTGGGGAGAAAAAAAAACAACAAACACAAGAAAACAAAAACCTATATTTCTTCAGAAATCAGGCAGCTATGCCTCTTTAGAACTTGAATAGGCTCTAGTAGAGACAGAGTTTCTGAGCAGAATAAGAAAGACCCAAATTATCCCTAATTGTGGCTTGGTATGTAAGTCATTTAAACACCTAAGCCACTCTTATGGTTTAATATGCCTGTTTAGGTAGATAATATATTCTTTCTCTAATAACTGCAGTGATATTTCTTAAACATAAGCTTTTTTAACAAGAAATATGATAGAAGAGAGCATATTTCATTACTGTTTTATTTTAAAATGTTAAGAAAAAATAAATAACTATGTTCATGGAGCACTTGCATTATATCAAAGTACATCCTGAACAGGCTTTCTATTGAATATATAATTGAAATATTTTGTTATTTATTTATTACTGTTGGCTATGAGGCTTTTTTTAAACATCTCAGAAATAAAAATGTACAATCCCCCCTTGCCCCCCCCTCCCCATTCACCCCTAGGTATCTATATTTTTTTTCAGGCAGCTATTAGGATTATGAAGAATGACTAAGAAAATTAATTAAAAATTCAATATACACAAAGGGTTGTAATTTACAGCCCATCAGGTTAAAAGTATTTCTCTTAGTTCATAACAAGTTCCACGTGTGTTAAAATTCAAGAAAATTAGTCTTAGTCCTATATATTATATTTCATTTTTTCATTAAAAAGTTACTTAAATGCTTTCATTAACTGGAACATTTATTTAGATATTAAGGGAAATTATTTCTAATATGCAAATGATCTATTTAACACCAAAAGGGGAAAGAGGCAGTAACAATTTTAATTAAAAATTCAATCCTTACAGGATTTTCCCTAATCAACTTAGAAATATTGCACAAACGCTTTATTAAATTGCAAAGTATCTGGTTAAAAGCTATTCACAATGTGATGTGCCAAATTATCCCTCTCCACACGAGATCCAGTTCCTACGAAAGTCAGTGGCAAAACTCTGACTCCAGAAGGTAATATGTTCGATGTATGATTTCACAGTAGTTTCCTCAATAGCATAAAATAATGTGTTCTAGGCTTGTTTTAGATCTGTCTAGATGGATGTGCAAGGAAAGAAGAGGAATGTGACATACACAGATACACCTGTTGTCCTCTGCGCCAACCTCTCGCTGTCTCTACCAAGGGAGAGTATATACATGACACACATGCTTTTTTCCCCTCTCCAGAGCAGGGAGATGGAGGTAGAAGGTGGAGCAGCTGAAACACTTGCATTATTTTCTTTTTGTGTTGTAATGTGTTTGTTTTGCCTGTCTTGTCTTATGGAAAAGATAATACTTTCTTACTGGGAAAATCCATCAGCAGCATAATGTCTTAGAGTTAGCAGAGGAAGTGGACACAAACTGAAGAAGCTGTGGGGACATTTGGAAGCGTTTGAGTTTGCAGGGTCAGAATACAATTAATAGTTGAGGCAGGAAGGGATCTCTGTTCCCACTTGTGTTCAAATATGGCAAAGACATTTGGGTTCAGAGTGAGCACCATGTGGTTCAGACTTAAAAAAGCTGCTTCTCTCCCTTCTTCTGTCATTGACCTTGGGGCATGGTCTTGTGTAACTACTTTCATCTCTGAGTGTTGATTTTTTCCTTTCTTTTTTTCTTAGCTTTTATCTCCCTCTCCATTTGAACTGTAAGGTTTAGAAGAAGCAGTGTCTCATGACAGGTATAGTTATACTGCACAATGAAACTCATTTATTATCTAGGACCTATATAAGGAGCTGTAATATCAATAATTAATAATCATGAACAGTGCCTGGTTACCGATTCATTAAAACTAAAATTTATCTAAATTTTACTAGATCCTGAGATCCCTGAAGACGGGCCATACAAACCTACTTACAACCCTGCCAGCCGTTTGACTAGTTCATATTATCATTGGACTTAATCTTTCCAGAACTAAATGACCTCATGCACATCAGCAAAGGAAATAGATTGACATCAGCAAAAACTAGAGCAGTGTGAGCTGTACCTGAGCTGGTAAAATATCATCTTAGGAATTCTTAATTCCTACAGCAGTTTGTAGGAATTGGCATAAATCGAATAAAATTGTGACAGAACATGGAAGCAACTCTCATTTTTGTACTTTGAAGGGATGAACCTTTCTTTCTATACTCAAGCAGGCTACATATATAGTGTTAATGCCTCTTTTTGTCTAAACTTCTTAGGAGTAAACCTAAGAGCTAGGAAACAGTGGAACAGAGAAAGAATGTGGATATCTGAATCAGGCCGTCTGACTGATCCTCCAGGTCTTGGCTTGGGGAAAACTAATTTAATTTTTTGCCAATTCAAATAGTTTGAATAGTGAGAAACCTCTACCCTCCCTCTTTTCCCAAGTTCCCAGCTCGCAGGGCTGTTTCTCACCCGGTTCCCCTCCCTCAGCCCTGGCTGCCGGGCAGCGTTTTGCCCTCCCTTGCCCAGGCTTTCCCCGGGGCTCTCTCCTGCCCGCCCGTGGCTGAGGGGCTCAGCCGTGCCCTGCGCTGGGGCCACTGGAGCCGCTGGAACCGGCGGGGTCCGTGCAGGGTAGCCCCGGCCGCCCCACACAGGGACACCCCGGCACAATCCCCAGTGCTGCTGCCACCACCGGGATACCTGCACCCGGTATAAAGTAAGACTCAGAAAAAGGTGCAAATCAATTATCTGACAGCGTACTTTGGATAAGAACCCCAAATTACAGAAAATTATATTTAATGACAAAACTCACTGAGATTTTGGAGATATGTGCTTTTTCTTTTTTCCTTTCTTTTACTGGAGGCTGTTATTAAAATACAAATCCCTTTCCTTTTGATTGCTTTTTATTTGATCTTGCTCTGTGGACGGTTTTAACATTGGGAAGGTCTTTTTATCTCAACCCAAGGAAAGGGCAACATGAAAAAGTATGTGTTTGTTCCTTTGAGCAAAGCCTGTGCTATTGGGAGCTCTGCCTTTTGGGAGATAACCCTGTCTTTGCTTCTTAAACTCCATCTGAAGGGACAATGTAGAAGTCCGTGGTTTTGCATGAGCTCAACTTGTGCAGACAGGGAATATTCCATCAGGGAGTTGCTTGTATGCCTTGTTGGTACTGAGGTAGAGGAGTTGGAGACCCAGTCACTATCTGGAA